TCACAGAAGCATCGACTGGTTCATTTCCGTAAGTATGCTTATTTTTTCCTTGTTGAAGGCGTCACACCATCATAAAATAGTATTTTGTAACTAAAAGCTATTTCGATAGCACCGCGAGATCCTTTAAATATGAAGTAAAAGTAACGTAAATCATTTTCTTATTTTTCATCGTCAACTGGTACCATTAGTAATTAGAAGTATCTTTGGGTAATTAAAGACAGTGGATTTTTACATGTTTTAAATCCGTTAAGTGTTTCTTAAAAACGGCACTGAAACTCTTTCATATACTCTTATTTGCATTCACCAAGGAGATATTTTACATTGAATATCCACGGTTAAATTACACAGATGCAGTTGACGAACTACTCGAAGAGAAAAGTAATGCCAAATATACATCGATTTATACGCTATTTGTGCAACGATAAACAGGCCCTGCGTAAATATGTGATTCCGAATTCATCAGAAAACGTGCAAAACAAAGGGGTTAATTGGAAGAGTCTCGTATAACTTAAGGGAGATATTTTAAAACGGTTGTCCGCTATACTCTGGCGAAGGAGGAACGCATGGGCAAGAGGAAGACGAAAAGTGAAGTCTTGAGGGGACAGCCTTCGATGGTCATAACTAATGTTGCATCTGCTGTGTTCTCTTTGTGTTATAGAGAAATGTTTATAAGGATGAGCCAAAGTGACAGTTCGCTAAACAAGTGAACATCACGTGTAATTCAGAGAACTATCCCTCAGTGTGGCAGCTGTTCAGACACGCCCCCTTCATAGTGTTTGTTTACGGCCCCCGTAAAGACAAACCAAAGACTAAGAGTGTCGCTGAGGTATATGCACGTACGCGAGTCCGGGATATATTGAAATAACGTTTGTGGGAAACTGTCTGAACATGCTGTCATATTCAGTAAAAGAAAACTGCCACGAATGTAAATAGAAAGAGAAATAATTGTTCAGGATACGTTTAAATACCTTTTTTGTTAATTCACAGCGAATGGCTCGTGTATTTTTGTAGGGAAGAGGGTAGTTTATTTATACTTATAACACCCCGACTATCAATATTTAGTACTATGCTCCCATAACGCAAATGTAACTTAATAATTGTTTTACATGTCGCTAATGTTCTGCATAATTAATGTATTCCTTAATCGTGAACAAGGCTTATGCCTTTTTCGCCATTTTGCTCTAATTTTCTTTAGGTTGGCTCTATGGTTTAGTATGCTCATCAGCTACTAGGTGGCACTTGTCTGTGGTAAGTTTCAGCGTTATCAGATCAGTCCACCGGGCGCTGTTACGATGTAAAGATGGTCGCGCCACTCTCTGTTTGCTCCAAAAAAGAACAGCGCTCCTCAATTCGTATTCTATAGTCTGAAGGTGTACTAGGAGCGGAAATTCATAGACTACTTACAGCACAGTACGGGGACAATGTATTGCCGCAGCGAAGTATGTACCAGTAGATTGAACAGTTCAAAAGTGGTGGAACGAGTGGGAAGGATGAGGGAAAGAACCGTTGGCCCTGCTGCAGCCGTAAACGACGGCAATATTGAACAAGTGCGTGCATTGATCCTCAATAACAGACGAGTTACTGATGATGAAGTGGCAAACCATATACACATTAGCCATGGTTCTGCTTATGAAGTAATGCACAACAGGCTAAACTTTCATAACCTGTGCGAGATGGGTTCCGAAAAAACTCAATGAAGAGCACATGCGCAATCGTGTGAGAATCTGTCGGCACCTATTGGATCGTCATGCTAATGGAGGTGAAACGTTTCTGAAATGAATCATCACTGGAGATTAAACATGGGTTCATCACTTCGAACCAGATAGTAAACGGTAGAGCATGGAATGGAAGCATCCAGAATCTCCAGTCAAAAAGAAATTCAAGAGTCAACCTTCTGCAGCGAAAGTGATGCTCACAGTTTTTTGGGAATCTCAAGATCCGATTTTGGAACAGTACCAGGAAAAGGGGTCAATAGTAAACCGTGAACGTTACAGTGAAATGCTGTTGAACAAGTTGAAGCCTGCAATTCGCAATAGACGCAGAGGTCGATTGTCGGAAAGAGTTCTCTTCTTGCATGTCAATGCGCGTCCACATACCGCCGCCCACACCCTTCAAACTCTACAGAAGCTGGGTTTGGTTGTGCTGGTGTTGGAATATCTCGCGTACAGCCTCGATATCGCCCCATCAGACTACCATCTGTTTGTTCCACTTAAAGATTCTCTCAGAGGCCGTCGATTCTGCTCCGATCAACAGGTAAAGTAAGCGGTGCTTTGTGGCTGCGCAACTAAAAAGGTTTGTTTTTTTTTCGAGAGAATCGGAAATCGTGTTCACCGATGGATCAAGTGCATTGAAAAGCAGGGTGACTACGTCGAAAAAAGACATAAATAAAAATTGTGTACTTTTGTTGTAATAAATTATCAAAATTGATTGCAGATACTTATTAACTTACCGTCGTATAAACATACATACATACATACATACATACATACATACATACATACATACATACATACATACATACATAATACAAAGCACGGAATCACGAAACGGTCTCGAACACATTCGCCACATTACATGACAGGAGCCGGAATCACGTGTACCGCCGCCAGTACTCGTCTCACATTCAAGACTCGGTTTTAAAATGAACATAATACTTATCACATAAAAAATAAATTCAATGTAATGTTTATAAAAAAAGATCTTGTACAGTACTTCCTACTACACTTCCTAATTTGAATTATTTCTTGTGGATCACTACATTTTCGTTCCACAGAGGCATCACAAAAAGATGCATCGAAGCCATTTACAAGTTAGCCTACTGCAAACGAATGAATCGAGGAAGGAGAGTATGATAAGCTAAAGGACACAACGACTTGAGGACCTTCAGTTGTGTTGCCAGCACTAGGTGTCAAAACGTCACATTCTTATGAAAGTCGTTCAATAATTGAGTAGTGTTAAGTAAATTTAAAACCGGTATTCATTTAGTGGAATGCGACGAAACGGTGACATGCATGAAATAGCATTTAGCGGAAGGCACACGGCGCGTGCTTGTCTGCGTTTGCATCATGCGTGTCAGGCGTTTGGACATGTGCCTGGAACAGACAAGAATGTTTAATGTTAATCGTGAGGTCCAATGATTCGTCCTCAAATTGTAAATGCCTTTCGAAGCGTCAGCTCGGCCGCAAAAGTAATTTGGCATACAAATGTGAGGGAAATTGCTTTTGTAAATCGAGTGAAGTGTTCTTCAGCACGTATTCCACACGTGCAATACGAAGCTGCAAGCCAGTTTATTAGAGATGTCTGGAAGGCCAAAACACAGAATAGTTTTTTCGTAATTTTCCGGGCGAGGTCATGAGGAGATACCCACTCCATCCCATAACTTTCCGGTCTCCAAAAATCTTTTTATCTTTCCTCTTTCCCTCCTCTCAATACCTCAATGAGCTTAGCGACTCCCTACGTTAACAAACAAAATACATTATCCCAGGAAAATTATTATATAACTGTATAAAAGAAAAACACTTCTCACATAGGCATCACAGAAAGCATACTGAGCGATTACAGTAAAAAGTAATAAATATCTAATGCTCACTTAAGCGAGCCCAATTATTCTAACTTTATTACATCGTTGAAGGTTGATCTTTGAAGGCCGCGTCCCTCCGCGAAATATTTATTCTGCAACCAGACAGAAGAGTTGGAGCGTCAACCATGGAGGTTGTACAATTCTAAGTGAAAACGAAAATTCAGTGCCTGCAGTTAGGTCAGACACAGTTTGCTCTAGTGACTTTGTGCTCTTATTGTCACTAAGACGTAAGAAATAGTAGAAATCGTGTCAAAATGTAGAGGAGAATACTATTATGTGTTTGAATAGGAGTGCGAGAGTGCGAATGTGTATGAGTGGGCGTGGGTGGGCATTGGTGTGAAATAAGGAAGTCAAACAATGGTTACAATCACCGTATCTCTTAAAGTCCGCTTTATGGTATCTCATCAACAATAGCTACAAAATTAACAGAACACTTACAATTACCGCCTACGCCACGCACTTTCTCTCTCGAATCTTATTCTCGCGTCTCTCACATTAATACTCGGCCGATTACAACTTTGGGGGCAATCGTTTAATTTTATTTAAGTTCAGGGGGCAGTATTGTGTAAATATCGAAGCTTCTGATTTGCTGTTTCTTAGATTATGGCTTCACTACGTGAACACGAACTGTCCACCACCTATTTTTATTTGTGGAATGTATCACGCTTTAAATTAAATTCGTAATACACAAATTTTTATTCAAATCAATATGAATGTAAATAACATTTTTATTAGGGGGCTTACAAGTGTACTGTAATTCCTTTTTCACAAAACAAATAGTAGCTTTGCAAACATTCTTCATTTCAGTGGAATGAAAAAATATTCGCGGGTAACACAGACCCAGCACACGGTTACCAACGTTCATGAAACGATTGCGAATCAGTTCTACATTTATCACCGACCACACCCCCTAATTTAATTTGGGAGGACAAAATAATTGGTCTCTCTTGTACCAGTAATTAATGTTGTTGGTGGTTCAGATAATGATTGATTACAAGGAATTCCGGGCACGACAACGGCTAAAGTAAATTGTCCCATAAGTGTAGTGCATGTTTTGCTCCGGCGTAGCTGTGATATTGCCTCGCTGGATGGGGAGTTCCAGCACCGACCTACCGTCGGCTAGCGGGGATTTTCCCCACCAAGGTATCTTCCACCAACGGGGCAGCGCCCCTGCCGGGACAAGCTCTAAGCTCCCGACCAGTCTCCCCGCATGTGCGGTAGTGTAGTGCTTGTAAGTGTGTGTGAAAGTAAGGTGTAGAGTTGGACAAGGAATGGGAATGAAAGATCGCGCGCGCGCGGTCCGTGCCCCGTTTGGTAGGATATTACTCCGTCAAGCCTGAGCCACCTCTCCCGGTGCGGCGCAGATTAAAAAAATGTGCATCATCTCCACATACAAAGCTGCTCTCTCTGTTCCATTCAGCTGATGTGAGATGGCGGTGACTGTGACACTGGCTACGTCTCTGACGTGTGCGTCGGCGGTGCTGTTGCCGCTGCTGGTGCTGCTGGCAGCCCTAATGTGGGCGCGCGGCGCTGAAGAACGCCGGAGGTTGAGGCGCTGCGGGGAGCAGATCCCGGGACCGCGGCCGCTGCCCCTCATCGGAAACCTCCTCGACGTGGGATTGGACACTAAGAGTGAGCCACCTATATGAATGTTCTTCCTGTAATGAGTTAAAGCGCGAGAGATTCACACTAGCACCTACGAGGCTCCGAAACGTCTCACTGATTTTGTTATAAACTCAATATCTCCGAAACAGTAAGAAATTCACTGTCATGTCTCAGTTTAATCTAATTTTCATGTACTGTATCAAATAATTATCTAGTGTAACGCTATCAGTAATATTAGTAGTAATATTAATATCATTCCATTATTAACTCAATATCTCCGGGAAAATGGGAAATTCTGTGAAAGGTTTCTTAGGTGAAAAACCTTGAATCTCACTATTCGGTGTGTGATTTTCGTCACCGAGCCTGAACCTTGTCTTGGGTTCTTCATTCAAGGCTTAATTGCTTTTAGACACAGTGTAGTGTAATTTATTCGGTTGAAATAGAATTGTTTGCATTATAATAAGTAGGAGGCGGAGTTCTATGATTTGGCAGTGCGTAGCTAAGTGAATTTTCTTGACATTTGGTTAGAATATGATGCTATAAAGATTAATATGTTAGTACATATTTGCGCATATTTGGCCGATTTTTCCTGTTCGGGCATATTCGTGTAATTATATGTGTATATTTTGCATATTTCGTATAAAATAGAGGCTTGTCTTTAAAACGTTTCATCTTTTAATATAATCTATTTGTTTGTGAACGTTTATTAATTCGAAAGAACTTGTCACAGTTATCGTATTTTTATTTTCTATAAATAAAATACTTTTTCAAATGTAAGATATTTCTTGATATGGTATTTTTTAAACCAGATAGAAGAAATAGTACAACGCGTACAGTATACTTCACTAAGGTGAAGGGCACACTACTTTAATTATTCTCCAGCAAAGAAAGGTAAACTATATTATTTTCGCACAAAAATATATCTTTTCATTCTAAATATGCTTCTCCTGAATTGTATCAAGAAAGATTTCCACAGGAACAGAAATATTGTTAATTTTAACTTCTTATTGAAGTGCACATTTCAGAATTTTTAGATCATAAATGCACATTTTTAAAAGCACATTTCAAGATATTTAGGGCATAAAAATCCTCTGCCTAGTAATAAGTAATCGCATATGTACCTAATATTGAAAAAAAATTTAAATCTAAAAAATAGAAGTTACTGGTATTTGAATGACCGACGGCCAACTCGCATTTACTACAATTTTTTTCATAATATGAGTAGTTTTCGCGCAAATGTGTGACCGCACCAATGAGTGACTATTATTACACAAAATTTAACCATGTTAATTCTCATTACCTCTGCTAACGTAAGCAAAATTATCCATGAAAATGAAATTCATCAGCCAAACTGAACTGATCATTTGAGAGGAAAATTAAACATTTTGAATCGAAAGAAACTTGATTCCGTAATCTCTTTTTATTAAAAATACAATAATTACAATTGCGTTCTACATTCAGGAGAGGAATAAATCTGATTCTTATCTGTCTGATTAACAAAATTTAATATTATGAGTAGGTTTACTACAAGAAATATGTACAGTCTTTTAAAATAATTTATTTTCAATTTTTCTATTTGCAACATATAACAGAATTGTTTAATAAAACTTTGGACAAATCGAAATGAGATTAATAAATTTACTATTCAAATATATTTCTCCCTCTTGACCAAAATGATTCTACGAGGCAGAATAAAAAAATACTCGACATGAAGTAACAGAAAATAAATCACATATACAAAATTCAGATTTTGATTGTTTGATAGAAAACATTCTGTAAAAAATGCTTTTATATTAATACACCGTTCATCGTAGTATTTTGAGCACACTTTGTGCTTTCCTTATCCGCTACAACTTGAGCATGCACTTTATCCTTTTCTGCACTTGGAGGGAAAATAAACACGGAATCAGGCGAAGTGGCCCGTCCTGTCAGGAGCGCCGGGCTTCCTTGGAGAGCCAGCATGTCGTGCGGATGCATTTTGTCTCGTCTGACTTCGAACATAAGTAACCAAGAAAAAAGTAATGGTCCCGGTGAAATCTTAAAAAACAATACAAAACATAGCAATTACGCCATCCAATTAAAAATGCGTGGTTCCCGACAGACTGAAGGTCACATAAAAAAACTTCGGTAAAACCTGCTCAACTTGGACTTGGACCCTGAAAGCGAGCTCGGCACTGCAGAGAAGAAAATTTGCGCTCGGAGAGAGCGGTAGAGCAGAAACGGAACTGTGAAATAAAATTATACGGCGGACGTACCAATCTTGACTTTTTCAAAGGCAAATTGCCGCGGTATCTGGATGTTGGCTGCATGCACTTCATTGAATAGACGGAGTACGTAGACGATTACACGACGGACACAATGGACTTGTTCATCAATGTGAAGTTCCACAGCAATTACTTACAATTTCTTACGACTCCCTACCTTGATCCACTCCAAATTGGAGGCATTACGTCTACGGAGGAACTACTACTATTGCTTGTCGCTAGATCACTACGAGGCGGATAAACAACGCACGTTAGTGCAGAAAGTGATCGAACATCTAGGAAGCTATGGAAATAACATGATAGAATATGAAGTGTATGCCAGAGAAATATGTAGATAACATACTTACGACTACAGAAAACCTATTTTTTATTCCCTCATTTTACGAAGGGTCAAAATGTTTCACATCACCCAATATTCATTAAAAAAATAAAATATTCTTATTTTTTTATGAAAATACTTTTTTTAAAAGAGTCATCGGACATTTATGTTTAACAAAATTTTTATTTGCTTTCATTATTGTCTCCAATTTTTGCAGCATCTTTCAACTTCTTTCCAACTCTGCCGAAGACATGGGATAATTAAACTTCATTAATTTAGGAGAAGATGTTTAAGATCTTGTTTATTAGATAAAATGTACTTTCTATTTTTCTTTCCCAGTACAGACCATAAACGTTCTTTAGGGTTGTTTAATGACGTGGAATGGAAATGTATGATTTTCTTTTGGGGTGATGTAAAGCTAACACAATCGAGTGTAGAGCTTTGTTTTGGCTCATTGTCGTGATGAAACACAAAGTTGTTACCAAGACCATGACAACGCATTAAAGTGGACATTACTTTAAGTTGTGAAAATAAACCATCCAAACATGGTCTTATGTATACATTTTCACGCGTTTCTGAAAAAGCGCAATAATAAAATAATAAAATAATAAATAAAAAATGCAATAACGTATTACTAATACTCGAAATGTAAATATTTATTTTAAAATGATAATTGATATTAAGGTTATGAGGTGTAACTGACAAAGATTCGTGTCTGTTGAAAGCTGTCCGTCCATAAGGAGAATTGTTAACTTGCGGAGACTTGTTCATGTATTTCACTTCATTGCTATATGCTGATATTAGCTACCATAAATCTCATAGATATTTTTGTACTTATAAACTCTGAATGAAACCTCTCCAACCAGATGGAAAAGGACAATATTATGGACATTTTATCATGGTCAAAAGTGTACGCTCTTATTGATATTCAAATTTTTAGGCTCGTATATTATCGACATTCGAATTTTCGGTTGAAGATGGTTTTATAGATGGACAAGCAATAATGTAGGAAATTTTAATATTGTGTGAAATTTGTGTCTTCAAGAACTGGACAGCCAATCGTATAACAAGTTAATAGCGAGTACAACAAAAGAGGGAAAAATGACTGTCAGGGAACAAATGTGAACTTCCGTAGTGGGACGAAGTGGAACTTCCGAGTCAAGACGAGATAGATTTCGTAGAAGGCACATCAGCAAACGGTCTTAGTTTCTGTAGTGAATGCATGTAATATTCATGATAGCATAGGGCAGATGTTCAAATTACGTGATAGGCATGAACTCCTGGAACATCAACGCGAATGTTTAATAGTTTAGTTAAATTGTAAATAGTTATTCTTATTCATATTATTAGTTTATTCAGTGTTTAGATATGTTTTGTTGAATCTTGGAGATAAGAGCAACGTTAGAATATTAATCGTAAATATTGGGAGAATGAGACATGTAAACTACTTGGTAGCTAAATAACAACGTAAAGTCATTATTATCGGGAGTGTACGGGAAGAAAGAAGATTTCTCTGGGAAACTTCTGCGACAGGACTTCGGAACATAGACGCAACTCGGATCTTCTCAGTCATCATTGTGTAAGAACCACGGCATTGAAAAACAAATTTTCTTCAAGAAAGATTTAATATTAAATTCGTGAAACATTTTGCAAAGGACATGATTCATTCAACAGTATTTGAGTAAATTCATGTCAAAATGAATAAATATAAATTTTGAGAAAAAGAGTTCTTAAAGTTAAAGTCAAATTGTATTAAAAAGGTCATTAAAATTATGAAAAATTGCCAAAGGAGATATCATTTGAGTGTTTACATTACCAACAATAATATAAAATAAAGGAAAAAAGTATTACTTGGCAAGTGGCAGATGCCTGTAAAATATCAAGCTAATTTTTAATCTCCTATATAGGTACGTATGTACGTAATATTCGTAGTATAGGACAAGTTACGTAATGCTGCGGAAAATCGATTTCGAGATTTCAACAGAAATACACGTTTTGGAGGCCCCTGATACCGAAATAGTGGTTATATTCAAAACGTCCGTTTGTCAGTCTGTAAACACTACTACCGCCTAAAACATACGTGCGATTTTGCATAATGGAATACCCCAGTTGATCTGGCTCCATACGAGGCGCTGTGATTTTGAAAAACTTTCTTTAAAATTTGGGGGTACTTCACATGAAGCTTACTTTACGTAAATACTTTTTCAAAATTTTCTCAAAAACGGCACCAGATTTTTCTTTACATTTCTTGTAAGAATTAGAGTATAGTACACATATGAAGACGGCACAAGTTCGATCACGGTTAACTCTTAATTTTCAAAAATTGCAAAAGTTTGAATTTTTTCCGGGTCTTCCTATAACTACAAAATTGAAGATAGAGCTTCTTCCTTCAAATAAACTTTGTTCTCCATACTTAGCTCTTTCAATAATGTCAGGTATGTTTTTTTTTAAATTTTAGTATTGCATGCAATATGTGCAATTTAAAAAAATGAAAAAAACAAGATTTTTTCAAAAACGGCGTGAAATTATTTCTTCCAACTTTTAGTAGTGATACTATAATGTACTACACTATAAGATGACACAAACACATTTTTTCCCTTATTCATTTGATTTTTCAAAACTACAAGAATGTAATTGTTTTGACTTGTCAGTAAATACTGGGCAAAACCATCACTGAAAAGTCTTACAAATATTAAGATAACGATTTGCACTAGCCATTACGGAATGCAATTGTATTACCGCTCATCAATGAACGTAAACACATACAATAAATACTTAACTAAATAAATACTCCGAGAGGCGTAAAAGTAGGGATGGTCGCAGAATGGCGGCTGAAACGGCACCTGTCCTTAGGACGCGTCGTCTACTGGTCAGCCAAGTATTTACTTACTCCAGCCGCGGAAGACTAAGCTCTCATAAATGCGGAAGATAGGAACATAATTTAATGAACATAATAATGAAATATTTTAGCTATTACGTATACGTAACGAATACGTAAATGTGTGAGTGAAATTAAATAATACAAAATGCTTCAAAGAGAATCGAGAATCAATAAATACTATAAATGTTTATAGCTATATTGGAAATATCGAAAAACACATTTCCTAATGAATGTATATGTGAAAAAAAAACTTGTGTATGATCGTTGTGTAGAGAGTTTGACAAATGTTAAAAGTGTTTATTTAACATTCTTTCAGATATCTCATTTTCTGACAAACTTTGACTTTATGAAACTTTGAAGTCGTAAAACGTTCGATAACAATTCATGAATATGTTTTTTTTATTATTTTTATTATTATTGAATTACCCATTCCCGTACATTGATACACATATTTATATAACTCATTTTAGTGCAAGTATTACGAAAACATCAATTGGGAAATGTTCGTTCTCTCTATCAATCAGGAAATGGCCTTTCTGTTCAAGATCTCGTAGAAACTTGTTCATTTTGACAATGCTCTTTATGTTTTAGTCAAAAGAATCAACGTTGACACTTGTAACTAAGGTGGATATACGAAACTAAATTTCTGTGATAATAGATATTAAGTAACTTTATGCCGTTTGAACATCACACAGAAAAAGTAGGTTAAACATAATTTGATAATGTTTACACTAATATTAAAATAATTATAACAAAAATATTATAAACATAATTCTATAAAAATAGTTAAAGTATTATTTGTAATTATAATTACTTAATAATAATAATAATAATAATAATAATAATAATAATAATAATAATAATAATAATAATAAAATATTCGAAGGCAACCATCATTTCATGATTTTGAAGGTATTGCATTGACACAAATGAGAAAAAATTGAGGTGATTTCTTTTTAATTAAAATATATTTGCTTGCTTGTTTATAGATTAATTAATTTATTTACTTATTTGAAGTACACTGTAAAAGAGAAGTTCTTATTTCCAACAGAACTCCACGAATCAGCCATAAGGTTTTTCGACCAATATGGAAACACATTTCGAGTATGGGCTGGTCCTTTTCGCTTGCTTGTAAACTTGGCAGAACCGAGTGACATTGAGGTACATGTACTTGCAACGGGAATATCCAATTTCAAATCTTTTTCTTTTTCGTTTGAATATATTTTAATTTTGTTAATGTACCCTTTTGTTTTCAGGCCCTATTGTCTAAAAGCAAGAATTTGAATAAGTCTTTCAATTATGAGTTCTTACATCCTTGGCTGGGTCTCGGATTACTTACAGCAACAGGTAATGATTTTATTGATTATAAGATTTTGAATGAAACCCAGAATTCCCGTTCGGAATACAAATTCAGAATATCTGTTAGAAGTATCAGATGAATCACTGCAAAAACTTTTTGTTTTATTTTCCACGATTGACACTTAAACCATACACTACTACCGGTGTGTGTGGCTCAGAGCATCAGTTGATGTGACTACAGTGCCTCTGATCTGGAGGATCTAATGCGTGGAAGAATTTGGGGCCTAGCTACAACTAGGTCGAATTCAGCCACTGCCTGCAGAAGAATTATAGCGACAGGCTGCTCTCGTAGTTTTCTATGGTTTCTCCGACCTGTACCAAGCGAAAGTCGGAGCAGTACCCTAACAAATTGGCCACGGAGCTCGCACAATCTTTTCTTCCTCTCCCTTGTCCTATCCTCACCCTTACGTACACACACTTACATGGACTACACTACATCACATTACTAATGTTAGGAAGCCAGTTGAGAGCCTAGAGCTTCTCCCAGCTTGGGCGATGCTTGGTTCGGGAAAATCCCGCAAACCATTGTGTAGGTCGGCGCTGGATCTCGCCATCCATCCGGGAAAATCACCGCCACCTGGCGCGTTGGGAACATGTACTAAGCTTACTGGAATACTCTACTTACTATCGTGTCGCCGAAATTAACGCATAGAATTTTATTACTAAAATGCCAGGACTGACAAACGCGGTCCCACGCCTCTGAGTCTACCCAGTCTGGTTTCTCCTTCACTTGATCCCCATCCAAGGGCCAGGGTGCCTTCGACATTGCAGGGACTCTGAAATGATGAAAAAATGTTCTGTAGTACATTCCGGATTATATTGTTTGCTTGAATTTTTCTTAAATGGATGGTTGACATTGTCTATCTGGTACTTGTCATGTTGATAAGGCGATTCAACGGTTCAGCCACAGGCATATCCAAGTATGGCTGACGTTGCACGTGCCGTAGGCACCACTGACAAGGGGCGCTATTGAGAGCATACACGCCAAAACAAATATCAGCAACCCGACTTTGAAGTATCCTGTCAGGGGCGCAAATTCTATGCTTGCCATGGGCGCCTGAATACCTAGATACGTCTCTAAGTAGGTGTTGTGTAATTATAAGCAATTGCGACTAATTTTTTAAATCTATTGAATGGCTTGTTAGCGTAAGTAAAGAATATGTATTTTTATAATTGTTTGTAGGTGAAAGATGGAAAAAGCACAGAAAAATCATCACGCCTACATTTCACTTCACGATATTGGAGCAGTTTGTAGATGTATTCAACAAACAAGGAAATATATTAATATCGATATTGAAGAGAAAAGAAGGAGAGGGACCTTTCGATATTGTCCCACTCATTGACCTGTACACCCAAGACGTGATATGTGGTATGTTTGCTCTAAGCATAAAATCTCTGATGAAAGTCAAAATTTTATCATACTTTGATGGATGAACGAAGTTTAAAAGAATGGACTTATTGAATCCAAATGTGAGGTAAACCTTTCTAATAGATACATTTTTGTGTACGCGCAAATGAGCTTTTTTACTTGCCTGCCTATTATCCTTACTTTGTTCTTCTGATAGTACTATTGAATTTGACAAAAAAAATTAAAACACTTAGAAATATTTCCAAAACGCTCTTCTACGAACAAGTATATATTATTGTTCTCTTCTTAAACACATCTCAAACAATAGAATTACATTAGTCGTTAATTGTAATTGTCTTCAATTTTGCAGTATCACCTGACATAAAACAACATAACGCGCTCTCAGAATGACAAGGTTCTACCCGATTTTGAGGAGAGCATTTTGAAAGTGTGGAGAGGTAGGATAACGAGCTAGGCATAATAATATGTCATTGTGTTTACGTAAGGTTTTCTACAAGTCTGATTCCAAAACTATTGTAATGTGCTTCAAATCTAACAATAGAGTTGGAACACGCGAAAACATCATTTTTTTCAAAAATGTCAGAGAGAATCTTGTCTTACTCAGACCACGATATCTTTCCATATATCTCTATTTTTTGTAATGTATCTAAAGGACTTCTTAGTTACGAGAAGAACAAGCGATACACAAAAATGTACTGCGATTCAACACATTGCGTTATAATATACTTTTTTCCCTGAAGGAATAATTGAATCATTCAGTATTATATAACATGCGTAAGAGAATAACAATGTCTACAATGTGGTAATAAAAATGTTCTTGCAGAAACAGCCATGGGAGTTGAACTTCACTCTCAAACGGAAGGTTACGCATCCTCTTATTTACAGTGTGTCAAAAAGTAAGTATAATTACAAAAGCAAAATAGTTTTGGTTAATTATATTTCTGTAAACTCGAGTTAACTTTTCATTTCAGTATGTGTGAGTTACTGATGAAAAGGAGTTCAAGACCTTGGTTATTTCCGAATTTCGTATATCGTTTGTCATCTCTTCGGAGGCAGGAGCAGAAACATTTGAAGATCCTTCATGGTATGACTAACGAGGTGAGATCTGGTAGTGAAAAAAATTAGGGATAAGAGAAAGAAGTTACTCAATGTGTTAGTTCAACACTAATAGAATGCAGTAATAAATAAAATATATTTTTATTATTATCTGATAATCTTGCGACGAATTTAAACGCTTATTTCATGTTTATAAGTTATAAAATTAGTGGCTATCATAAGTTTTTGCTCAGCGTAGTTTGTATTGCCGCCGAGCACCAAATATATATTTGGGAGCCTCTTAGTTCGCGAACTCTTCATTGTACGATATCAAAATGTCTGAGGAAGATATTTCGTGGGTTTACTGGAGTTGTGTATGCTTAATTGTTTTACTTTTTATGAATTTTTTTCCCGAGCACTATCTAACGAAATTATACACACCGCTCACGTGGCCGGTAGATATAAGAAATAAAGTGTAAAAATAAAAAAGATACATATTATGTGTTTTCTTTAATCTTAAATGAAAGCAAAGTTATGATTTTAAACCAACATGATCATAAAACAAGAATATAATCTTGGGCATCCTGGATTGGGAATCCCAAAACTGTTTCAAGAAACATGTGACGCTCATATTGTCAGTTTTGCGCTGGGAATTGTGCTGCAATCAATACGGTACATTGTGCCTGGCTCTGAGCAAAGGGATTTCGATTCCTAATGTGCGTGTAGGATATGCCTCTGATCATGAAGTCTATAAGAAGAATACTTTAATCCGATGTTGCAGGCTTGGTGGGGGTATGTGCCATAAACGACGACACACTTCGAGAAATCACGCGGTGATTGATGGCTTTTTTCTCGACTTTTCGGCCAATAACGACGCGCGTACACGTACTTGACTACCTCTATCGGTACATTTAAGTGTAGATGTCGATACATCTGCACTTCAGTGTTCCTAGAGAGGTGCCTCAGGGCATCGACTGATGACACTGCAGCGTCCCTGTCCGGGAGGTCCTAGGTTCGAGTTCCGACGTTGGCTGGATTTGACAAGCACAAGCTTGACAGCTACGTTGAATACAGTCGCTCTCTGAAGGAGAATTATAGTGACCAACTGCTCTAATCGGTAGTTTTCCGTGATTTCTTCGATGAACATTAGGCGAATGCCGGAGCAGTACCCTAACAAACGGGCCCCAAATCGCGCGCGGTCTCACCTTCCTCTTCCTTTTCCTATCGTCACCCCTTACACTAACACACAAATACTAACATATACCACACATGTCGATACCCTTCAGGAGCTAAGAATATGTTCCGGCTGGGGTGGTGCCCCGATGTTGGGAAATACTTGGTTGGGAAAAACCCCGCTAGCCGACGATAGGTCGGCGCCGGATCTCACCATTCAGCGGGGGAAAGATCACTGCCTCCTCCCCAGCAAAAAACTTGCATTACACTTACGAGACTAATGACACTGGTAGTTGACGAGCCCGGAATCCCTTAACAATCAATCAATCAATCAACTAATCAATCGATCAATATACACAGTGTAAGTAAGTAGATGGTGTTGATTTCACACATGAATTTGGCGACTATTAGCCGAAAATGTTTTAAACGGTTCTCCCATTCACCGCGTGATGTTGCTGAAGCAAAGTGTGACTAACTGCCGTTTTGCACATATATAAGGTGACTAATCATCCTCCTTTAGGGAGATCACTCCTTCTGAAGCAAAGTAGGTTCTGTCCTTCCTCGAAAAGTGTCCTCCTACATGTCGTCCTTTTCGATATTTAAAATACAAATGCTGTAACCTACTATAAATATATTAATCTAGTTAATCAAGTACGAAATCACGATCCAATGTTGATACTCAAGCTGCAGCACTTACCGTAAAATCCAATATGAAGGTTATTTCTAAGACGAAATTTCTAATATATTGCTAGAAAATGATATATTGTCAAAAAATATATTCATTTAATGGAAAAAATACTCGTTTAAATAAAGAATTAAGAGAGATGAAAGAATAATTAGTGTAGTTTTGTTTGAATTAATAAAATGTTTCATTTATTTATGTTGTATTTTTTTCTTAATTTTTTTCGTCCTTCTTTTCGTTGTTAAAAAAATTGGTCACCTTAATATATACTCCTACCATCGGGAGCCTCATTCTTAGAGACTTCATGCCTCTGACGCTCCACTTTCCAATAAAATTCGGTATAGTTCGATGAAGCATCCGTTTCGTGATTTCGCTTACAACGGTATTCTTTGACGTAGCAGGCGAAGACATTCGGCGAAGACTTTGAAACACTTCACTTTGAGTTCCAGATCAAGGAGATACATTGTCGTTTCCGGGCTACTCAGATCGAAGCATAGGAGAAAGGTCGAGGGAAAAAAGAGAGACAATAGACACACAGGTTTTAAAAGCCGTAGTTATTGCTCTTTAAAAAATAAATTATAATTTACCTTATTTATAATCGCGCGTGTTTTTTTCCTGTAACGTGCATCAAATTAATTATTCATTTAATAGAAATAGTTATATATTTATAATATAATGAAATAATTGTAAAATACACTTAATTACAAGAACAGGAGTAGCATTTTGAGTAAATAATAATAATAATAATAATAATAATAATGATAAATAATTATTAAGTTTATAATAATATTTTATTGTTTTTATTAATAATTTTATTACAATCGAAGTAATGAGTTAAATGGAAAATTATTTAATTTTGAGTTTACGAAAGTTTACCGAACTAAAAATTGAATTTGCGAAATGTTTGTCCTGTGCTTTTTGTTTGTTTGATTTCCTATTTCCTTTCTGATGTACTGAAACGCCGTTCCGTCGCGTTCCGTCATAAATCAAGCTCTAATTATAATATTCATAGTCATTTGTTGGTGAAGTGATGATTCCCTTCCTTCACCTGGCGCTTGACTAAGTCGACTAAGCGAAGCTGAACCAAAAGTGTTAACCAACTGAATGTGATATTCGGCGAATTTGGCGATAGTAGCAATCTCTGCACTTACGATTAGAAACGATTCCTAATAACCAAACGTTTTAGAAGGAAAACGGTTTTGCAACCTAGGCTTCGTTCACGGTACATGGTTCATGGTACGTTGTTGCTTCTTTCATTACTCATTTGCTAGTTTCAGCTTTGCAAAAACGCTTTCATTTGAGAACGTGATTATTATGTAATTGTATTGTATTATTATGTGATTATTATGTAATTGTGTACGTGATTATTATGTAATTGTATTATTATGTAAGTTTTTAGCTAGGTAATGTTATTATTATTGTAAATGGTATTCACTCATGCTAACTGAATTTTCTCTTTAGGTAATTAGGAGAAGAAGAAAACAACTCCAAGAGGATCCTACACTATTTGAAGAAAACATTGATGAACTAGGTAAAATAGCATCACGCAGCTTAAATACTAAATCACTAAAGATAAATTGATAGTGACTGCAATAGAGCATGTAGTTCCGAGGTCACATGTGAATCCTCGTGCGTATTTATTGATTCTATCCTCCCTTTATTCAACAACACAGGTCAAGTCCCGAAAGGGTCGTCCACAAAGTACGTAACGCTAAACAGGGAGGGATTAGGGGCAGTGTTCTGCTGCGTTACATTAGGGTAGCGGGTTAGTTGAGTGTTACATGACGCTAATTTTTTACAATATTTCTACATTTGTTGAAATCATTCCTTTGATTCGGTCTTGCATCGTAATTTTATTAACAAATTAAATTTAAAAAAAATAATATAAATTGTACATAATAATAAATGGTTTTTTCACCATTGGTTAAATTAAATAATTTACTAAGTTATTAATTAAATAAGTTAGATTATAAAAAAATTTAAAACTGATCTTTATTCTAGAATCCAATTAATTTGGCGCAGTAGACTAATACCTATACATCCTCCACGATGGGGGTACACGGCTTATTAGAAATTGTGTTGCCTGTGCGTCCTTCCTTCAATTAAAATTTTTCACCCACTCTTGTTGTTAGGAGCAGTCAGCATCTCCATCTAATTCTGACTTTAATTATAATACATTTTAACACTTAAAACTCAAATTTAAAAAAATGTTTTTTTTCTGCTATATAATTTACTTTTACTCATTGTGGGTTGGATGGTAATCAAATCTGTTGCATCTTTTCTACATTTCTCGACCCGGCTGGGGCGAGGGTCTTAAGTTCGCCTCCCGGCTACAAGAGCTTTCCTGCTTAAGCAAACGCGCTAGGCGTCGCACGGTGTGACCAGACGGCGAAAATCTGGCCAAAAGGTCAAAAATAAAAGTCTGTTTTGGGAACTTCTGACCATCCCACTCGAAAGAGTTGTCGTTTCTTACATCGGGAGGTGTCGTTTCTTACATCTGTTGTCAAAGTATGAAGCCTAATCCCTGTACCTGCAGTAAGCTGTAGAAGTTTGACGTTGAAATACGCGGTTATTGCTCTTGTGGCCTCAGAGGAGATAGTAGGCTGTTTTCTAATATTTATAAAAACGTGCTATATCCAGGTATCTCCCCGGGTGGGGCACCACCCCAGCCGGGCCGAGGTCAAAGCTTCCCATTGGTCTCCCGGTAATGCATGAAAAAAAAATGTGAGTGTGTGTGTGAAAAAGGAATTGAAGGGGACATATATGAGGAAAGAAAGGGCGTGTGCGATCCGTGGTAAATTTATTTTAGTACTTGTTCGGCATTCGCCTGTTATTGGTTAAATAAACACGGAAATATACCAACCAGGGAAGCTGCTTGGTATAATGCTCACCATGACAAGTTGAATTCGACCTAGTTATATATCGGCAAAGGTGTTAAAGGACTTCAACAGATTTGCCTCTGACCGGGAGTCCCTAGAGTTCTAAACCCGACGATGGCGGGAATTTTGATACTAGCTACATATCTAGGTCGAATTCAGCCGCTGTCTGGAGGAGAATTCTAGCGGCCGGCTGCTCTCGGTAGTTTTCCGTGGTTTCTCTGATCAACACCAGGCGAATGCCGGAGCAGCACCCTAACAACCGGGTCACGGTTCCCGCGATCTTTCCTTCCTCTTCCTTGTCCATCCCATACTTAAACACACACTTACGTGTACTACACTACCACATTTGTCGGACCAGTCGGGTGTTTAGAGTTGCCCCGCTTATGGGAGATACCTGCCGCTGAATATAAAAATAAGTAAATTATTTCAACTAATACAGGAATCATGTAAAATGCACAGGAAGAAAAAGAAAACTAGCCTTCTTGGATCTGCTTCTATATTCTACGCTCAACGGTGACATGTTATCTGACAAAGATATTCGAGAAGAAGTTGATACTTTTATGTTCGAGGTACGCTCATTGATTTTCATTAATAATGTATGCTTTGTATTTCTTGATACCACAAATCATTGTGACTTCTGATGCTCTTCGTAATGATATCAATCTGTTTCAGGGACACGACACCACAGCTTCTGGGATTTCCTTCGCTCTATACGAGCTGTCACAGCGACCAGATATTCAGGTTTGAAATTGGATTGTTCACATTATGCGATCATTAAAACTGTTGTTGTGAGTTGTTAAGCAGCCGTTATAGCTTTTTTAAACACACACTGTTTTAGCACCACAGTTTTACATCACTCCGTAGATCAGATCTGAAATGGAGAATCTAAATGTTTTTGAAGGATCGTAGTGTTGCTTTTACGAATATGAGATAGCAAGGATTTCTGGAATCTTCTTGTTTTAAGATAAATGTTACGAGACAAGTAAGTAGGTTCACCCGTATTTAATATCTATCTTCAATGTTGTACCTGTAAGAAAACACCGAAAAAATTTGAACTTTTGGAATTTTCGAAAATTTAGAATGTTAACAAAAATGCCACCTCGACCACTTTTAAGCGTTTTAGTTATCTCTTAAAGGAAAATAAAATAATAAAATAATTTTGAGCCATTTTTGAGAAAATTTTGAAAAAATTAAAACTATCATTTCAAATTCGCAGGGCCTCGAGTTCGGCCAGATTGATGGAGGATGATTAGTTTTGGAGAAAATCGTCTGAAAGGTTTCGGCTCTAGCATTGCACACGGACGGACTTTTTGTCGTCACACCCTGTTTTCGGGAGGGGGAAGGTGTTCAAGGATCCACATGACGTGAATACTGTGTATACAACGAGTTAAAGAAAGAAATTTATTACATATGAGAACACGATTTATACTCACTTTCGGAATCAGGGCCCCACATTGTGGGTGACGTTTTTGTTGTAGCATAAAATATGGAAGAGCGTTTTTCGATACCATTTTTGATTCCTTTACTCTTACAACGTCAGAGCCTTTGAATTTGATTTGTGGCTTTCCCTATTGTATCGACTTTTTGGCAATCATTAATAGAATGTTGAAATAAAATCTAATGTCAGAGAGAAGTGCATATGTTTCCAGTATCTGTTTGTGGACTGGAAAGTAAATGTGTCTAATTAATTCATTAAAGACAAAATAATGGTTTTAATAGAATTGCTTTCAACTTTCCTTTATTATATGGCAATAAATGCAATCAATCGTTATTGATGAATTTATTTATGAACTGATTAGTGATTATTATAATCAATTAAAGGTTTTGACATCTATAAAATAGTTATTTAGGGGTAAAAGTGACATTTTATTGAGCGAGTAGAAAGGTTACGACACGAGGTCGATAGAATGAGTGGTGCAATCCTAAGAATAAAAGAAAATCATTATTACCACGTGTGTCATATAGTATTTTTACACATCCCTGCTGACTTTCATTTTATTTTAATTGAAGTATGCAGATCACTTAATGATACATTGTCAGTAGTAGCTGATGGGGTCAGATTATTTTTTTTCGTTGGTGCTTTCACAGATTTATCTGAACACGAGCATTTTCCCACTGTCGAATACTAGAGCCAAAGATTGAACATTTTGCGTGCTATGCAAGCCCTGAAAGAACGGCTTTTACTAATGGATGTTTATAAATGGAATTAAAATACATTTGGACAAAATCACTGACTTTTCTAACAAAATTGTGATTTTTAGGAAAAGATTCTCGATGAACTGAAAGAAGTATTTGATGATCAGTCGGAAGAGATATCTCTTAATTTAGAAGTTCTTAACAAATTGAAATACCTGGATCAAGTTATAAAAGAAACATTACGAATGTATCCCAGTGTTCCGATATTTGGCAGAGAAATAACAGAAGACTTGTATCTACCTTCAGGTGAGCTATTAATAATAACTTCTAACAGCTTTTTTCGTTTTCTCCCTTTTTTTCATAAGTTTATAAAGTGTCTGAAATAGATCAAAGAGGGATTCTGTGAATTGTCACCCTTAAAATGTGGGATGACCACTACAGAAAATGTATCAATTTGACAATATCCGGCTCAGAATGGCCGTATGTATTGATCATTGGGCCTACGTTCGAATACTCAGTCAGAAGTCACTTGTAAGAACAATCAGAGGCTACAGGTTTGTATATTATTCATCACATCGACAATTATGAAAACTAAGTAGGAACGGGGGTATTTAGATACCTTTTCCTTCTCAGAATGTTATTTCTCATTTTTACTTTCTCCCTACGGAGTAGAGAGAAAGTTATGTAATGCTGCGCGGAAAACCGGCGAATTTTTGGCAGAAAACTCTTTTGAGGGGTACTTTACATGAAGCCCCAGGGACATTTTAAAAATTTTCGGAAAATAGCTCCATCGTTTTTTATTAAATTGTGTTGTTGGATAGTGTAAAGTCCGTTTGAGAAAATGGTGCAAGTATCGTATTCATTAAAAACCTTGATTTTTAAGTTCAAATTTTTTTAGGAGTGTACGTGCAATTAAAATATGAAAGATAGAGTTCTTTCCTCTAATTAAATCCATTCCTTGAAGATAGATTTTGAAATTAGGTCAGGTACAATTTTCCGAACATTTGAATACTTTTTGCGTTAAAGGACGGGGGAGAAAGTACGTGCTGTTTTAGCACCACTAGTTTAAAAATAAGAGCATGATGTCATTCAAAGATATATATTTGATTAATAAATTGCTTTAATAAAGATATATCTGGCTTTCATAGTGACCGTGTAGGTCACGGTCGAAATTAAATGTTAACTTTCACAGTTTTCAAAATATTAGAGGTTTTAATGTTCCATCAATAGTTTTAACATGACACATCTGATCAAGTCTCTTTCAGGTCAGCACCCTGCGTCAAAGTATACTGACACTTACTATAACGAAATTGTTATTCACTCATAATATAATAATTTACACGGAGATTTGAGATTGTTTAAAAATGGGTACACAATGTGCCGAAAAATTTGCCATCCAACCGTACTAAAATCCTTTATCCAATCAATTAACATCCCCGAATTGAAAGGATTCTTTTCGTTTGATCAATTTATGATATCAAAAAGGCCCATTGGTAGACAAATTCAAAAATATTACGCGCGTATGTAAGCAATACAAATGAATAAAATAAAAAAGCAAGTAAAACCAGGCACAGGCGTCTACACCGTACCTACACGAAGCTTTTTTCCTACGATTGGCCGCTTTCTGGTCGATCACTACCGAATATGCTCGTGAGTTTTTGTGATCGCTCGCAGACACGTCCACATTGCGCTTTTTGCAGGCGCTTAATGTTTGCTGTTGCTCGTTCATGCTCTGTCGCGCAGTATGTACCCACGTTAACACGATTCCATTTTTTCTAGTGTCTGCTGATGTTCCTCCTGGGGTGACAGTCACAGTTCTCCCAGGTCTCCTCCATCGGTGCGAGAAGTTCTATCCGGATCCACATACATTCAATCCGGAGAATTTTTCACCTGAAGCAGTTTCCAGCAGACATCCTTATGCCTTTATTCCATTCAGCGCTGGATCGAGAAATTGCATTGGTATTTCTCTATGGATTGTTTCATTAATATGTGACATTAGTAATTAGGATAATTGCAATTGATCAAGCATTTGCAAGAACAAATTATACAAATGCGAACTACTGTAAATCTAATTGTCAAAATTAATCTTTAATGATTTTTATGAAATCTGCCTTTCTTCGTTGAATATAAAAGTCTGTGCTTGATGTGTATTTTTGTCTGTTCATTTATGTTCTAGTTTATAACGAAGTCACATTGTAACGAAACGGAGAAAAACGTAGGTCATATCACCGAAAAAAAAAGAATTAGCTATTTATGTTGAAAACGATTTCAAAAGTAATTTTTGCTTACTTGTGTATTTAGTTCTTGTAATATAGTTTAATTCTCGCGAAATATTGCACTACTTATTTTTAATGAAATTTACTGTTTTAATAGCTTTTTTTTTGTTTTCAGGTCAGAAATTTGCAATGCTAGAAATGAAAGCTGTCTTGTCGAAGATTATTTGGAATTTCTCTCTTCAAATAGACCCTACTTTTGAAATGAAGGTTGTTTCTGAAATAACACTGAAATCACAGTACGGAGTGAGATTATCAGCTATTCGCAGAACACATAACTAACTTACTAATTTTTTTATTGTTTGTTACGAAAAAACAGTCAATTTTGTATTATACATTTGTTGGAAGAAATATAATCTAAATTGTTTGTAATTTTTTAAAACATGTATTCATTGTAAATCACTATAAACATATAGTAAAATGTGTTCTAGGAAAATGCATTACCACTAATATTCATGAAAGATTAAGTTCAAGGGATTTGGCTACACAGTTTATAAAAAAATATAATCGAACACTAGTCTGTCTTTTCGAAATATCTCATTACATTCTCAGGGTTATGAAATCCAATTAGTAGGCTTCAGAATTGCACAGACTTTCTCATACTAATTAGTTTCCTCTTTTGTGTGGTCTAGCTTTCGGGTTTTGTCCTACTCTCTTCCCAGCAACTCATAGGGGCCCTTAAATTATGTTTTTTTCACGTTTTCACAATTTTTTGACATCTAATAGTAGACTTGTAATATGAATTCCTTCTATTATTATCTCTCCTTTCAAAGCAACGACCAGCAGAAGGAAAAGCGTTCCGATGACTTTCAGTGTTGTGATAGCCATAACTCGGAAATGAGTTTCCGGACACATATAATGAACTATTTTGATTGTCTACATATGGGGAATATATATCTGAAATTAAGCCGCCTGTTTTTTAATCATTCTGTATATTCGCCTTCAGAACACAAATCAGACTGAGTTTGTGGAGTTTTAAAATATTTATAAAAATTAGAAGATACAATAACATGGAAGTGATAAGCAACTCAGAGGAATCAAATATAGTTGTAGATGATTATGCGAAAGAATTTTACGAACTAATTGAGAATGATATTACATTATCATTAGAGAATAACTCATAAGAAAAGTATAAGGTGATCATTAAGGTAATATTAGAATACGAAACAAAAAACTATTCTAACTAGTCGCATCATTCAGACCTTCAAGTATTTTTTTACCGCGATTATAATTTTTAAATTGTAATATTACCAATTCATATCCCATATAGACGTAGTACGCAAAGCCATTGGGTGTTGGGAATTTTTGAACAGGAGTATGACATTAACTGCTACTACGTCGAATGCCAGATACTGTAAGAACTATTTGAACAAAGCTAGGCATTAAGAAGGCAAGCAGAAATAAAATATATTATGAATGAAATTTTCAACACGTGAAAATTCTTTTAGAAGTTTACAGCGTCGGCAACTCCACATTCAACTAGTTGTGGAGTGATAATGGTTGATGTAGAAAACAATGAATATCTTTAGAAGACAATCTTCTAAAAGATGGTTTGCAATCAGATGCGTGATTGTAGTGGTAGAGCATAATGGAATAGCTCTCGAATTACGTTCACCAAAAGACACCATTTCAAAATTCCCTCTCTAGGACTCTTGAGGATGACCCTGGAAGTTTATTGGTTATACTTCTGGAGAATGGGCGTGAAATAAACAAAATTAAGAAGGTCTATGTGACAAAGGCTAATTGGCTACCATGAGACAAAGGCGTTTGTTAATGATGGTGATGTTTAAGTCTTTGAGGTTATTTGAGGTCTTGACTGGGCATAATCTGTTTCAAAATTTGGCGTATGTTCTGTCGAAAATCAAGTGAGCAACTTTCAATTTCATAATGATTCGAAGTAAATCTTGACCTTAATAATGTGGCTAAAGTGAGATATGATAATAAAATGAAATGTGCGAAAGACATGGATCCACGTGCCTTTTCATTGAACATGAAAAGTGAATCTAAACGTATTTCGGAACCCTCTGCTATTTGCGTAGAAAAAGCGTCTCCCTCCATATTTTTATAAGCAGTCGATTTAAAAAAATAATTTTAGAACATTGATTATATTTATTATCTTCATTGAGACAAGTGTTACCTTCATTAACTTAATTAATCGTTCGGAAATTTTCCAGAATGTTCATAAATAGGCCCAAAAATGTTCGTAATTTTCATGAAGCCGGTAAACCATCAGCAAAAATTAATATAATTTATTGTATACTATTTTTGATATATTAATTATTATGAATGCACTGTAGAAAAATGACCTGCTCGGTCATATTATTCATAAGAAATCGATGTCGATCGGAGAAGGTTGACCTCGGCAAATGCAGGTACTTTCAGACCACTGCCATGGAAACGAGCCCCAAGCAGAGAGCATGCCTCGAAGAGTTCGCAACGCATAGCGGTTGTCTAGATCTCACCCCAGCCATTGGGGAGGTTTATGGGAAGGCTCATGAATCGGAGAAAACAAAAACGTTCGATGTCCACCAGCTTCAAATTTTAAAGATCCAGCAAAAAAGCTTCCAACACCAATAATTTTTTCTTAACGTTAATAGTTCAAGGACACTCTACTGACGTCACAGAGTTCACAGACAACGAAATTTTATATGTGGAAAGTTGAATTTATATTTTAAGATCGGTTTTCGATCGTTAACTCAAAACCAGAAAAATGTGACATCGAACCTTTTTGTTTGCACCAATTCACTAGCACCCTCGGCCCTAATTTTTGTGGAAGACTTCAATAAATTTTTGTATGTCTAGTAGTTCTTGAGTTTGGCTCAATGAAAAGAAAACGAAGACTTCACATTGCCGTCGTTTCGGCCATTTATTTGGCCTTTATCAGGGATACAAAACATTTTTTTAAAATATGTACAGAATCATATGTGCAGTGACAATTTCATTCATAAATTAAAGAAAACAATTTTTTGTTGACATTTATGTGGCTTATTTATAGGGTTGAAAGGGATAATGAAAATATCCCATGTTCGTTTTTGACATGTTGGCAACACTATCATAACCTTAAAACACACAAATAGAAGCTGGTGCACAGCACATGCAGAATGTTAACACAGTCTAATTTAACTATGCATTATGTGAGATGAAGCCACAGAGATAAGGAATTCGTAGAATGCAAACTTACAATTTATAATCCTTCAGGTAAGTCATTTAAATGTCAACAAAAAATATATTTTTAAATTTATGAATGAAATGGTCACTGTACATATTCCAGCATATATACATTTTTTAAATGTATTTTGTATCTCTGATGAAGGCCGAATAAGTGGCCGAAACGTCGTCAGTGTAAAGTGTTTGTTTTCTTTTCATTGAAACAAACTCAAGTACATTAGACATATAATTGGCCAATGGTCGCAAAGTTAGCATAGCAAAATTAACAAAAGAAAAGAAATTAAAGTAAAGGTTTGTCGCTTTTTTTCAGCTAATTTGTTACTTGCAAACTTTGCAAAAACTTGCTTGTGTACACTTAGCAATAAATAACATTTGTCGCTCTTCATTTGACCGTTTTTTTTCATCTCCACAGTACCCCTGTGGAGACGGGAATTTATATTTTAGTTCGGATACATTAAGCTGCAGCCTTCCTTCTTGAGCACCTAGAGGGGTGGGGGTTTGTCTCAATAACTATAAGTTTAATTTATTTATTAATTCTAAAATTAAAATATATTCACTTTTACATACCTAACGTACTGTTCAATGTGTAATTAGTGTGTTATGTAATTAGTCATTTGTGTTATTAATTTTGTATAATTACTGGAGAAATTTTACGTGTTTAATACTTTTTCTACCTTCATACATCATTCACATTAATTATGCGCATAACCATTGATTCTTATCATTCATTCCCACTGCCCTACACTAGTAGACTTCCGTTCGCCACGTCCCGTAGCGTCCGTAACTCTCAGTGGGACTCGAAGTGTCCGTGGCGCTCGGGTTCATTGGGAGGCGGGGCAGGTGGGGCGCGGCGTCGCGTTCCCCACGCGCTCCTCGGCCGATGGCGAGTCTTCCCCCTCGCGTTCGGCTGCCTCCGCTCGCTCGCACGAGGCAGGCTGCGTGTCGCGGGGCCGCGCGCTTCAGACCTTTCCGTACACGGAACCGTTGGGCGTCGCTGTTGGCCTCTCGGCCGGTGTCTGTCAATGTGCCTTTGGACCCAGCGCCCTCGCAAGTGCCGTTTGCCGAGAATGTTTGAAGCTCCTGCAAGAATTGGTTTTCTGTTCCCAGAACTCCGAACACGTCGATGCTTCTATGCATTTGGGGGGGGGGGGTGAGCGCTGCGCGGCGCGCCGAAGCCGCCGAGCGAATCGGACGGAAGATGGAGGGGGAAGACAGTTAAACGTTCAAATGGAACGCACGCAAGCGGTGATTAGACGGCGCTTGAAGGCAGGATGGAGCGCGTAGGAGAGTGATTCGGGTAGCTATTTTTCGTGTAGTAAGTATTTGTCGTGGGCCTGCCAGTGGAGGTCGCTGTCGAGCACCACACCAAGAAACTTCGCCGTCTTTTGCTAGGGTAAGTGCGCGCCGACCGAGCTCACGACTTCATCGGGGTCGGCCCTCTGTCGAGTGAAGTTGACGGCTACGCACTTGGGTTGAGGGGGAGCTTTTTATGGCTCAGCCATTTAGGAAGCTCGGAGACTCAATCGTTCAGATTTATCATCGATTTCCTTTGTCCGCCGACTTCGCGTTGTAAGCGAAATCATCCGCTTACATTAGGAGCCCGCAATGTTGAATGCCAGTATTTCTTTCCACTGGTAGCCGCGCGTCGTTGACGTACAGGACGAATAGTGACAGGGAGAGCACGCTACCGCTGTGGCACGCTGGCACGCTGACGGCTCGTCTTAAGGACGATTGTACGCCATTGACGCGAACCTTGAATCTGTTAAGAAGCTAGCGATTACTCTGAGGCAGCATCGCTGATTCCAAGGTCTGCAAGACACGCGAGTACGCCCCCTCGTGCTGTACAGAAAAGAATACCGACCGCTTGCCTAGAAAAACCACCGGCAAGTTCTACTGTCTTTCGAGAGTAACCAACGTTACATCCCTCAATTCTTTCCTACAAGTTCACTCAACTCGTACCAAAAATTTACAATTTCATTTCGGAACATTATTATAGATCGTCTTTTCAGACTAATTTCATTTTCAGGGCTTTGAAATACAATTAGTAGTCTTCAGAATGACACGGACGTTTTCGAACTAGTGCGATATAGATTTCCAGTTTTGACCCATCATCTTCCCAACAGCTCCTACCGGCGCTTAAAATGTATGTTTTCACAATTTTTTGGAAACTAACTTTAGACTTTTAATATGATTTCAAGAATATTACAGAAGTGTAAAACCTAGTAGTATAAGGAAATTTTCATTAAAAAGTTCGGTGCCGCTTTTTTGAAAATGTTTAGGCACTTATGAAAATGCACAATTTTGAGCACTTTTAACGGACGACTTTATAAATTTCGAAAAAATTCACAAGAAATCATTTGATCACTTGTACTCACCCAATCAATATTTTTTTTAAAAGATCGTTTCATATTCAGTTTGGAAAACATCCTACAAATATTTTAGGCACTAGTGTTGTTCTCAAACTGACGGTACTGACTGACCCTTCTCGCTGACCTTCTGGTCGGCCGTCCGGCACAGTGCCTCTGTTTGCAAGGTCCTAGGGTTGGAGTCCCGATTTGGCAGGATTTTCGACACTAGCTACATGGCTACGTCGCATTCAGTCGCTGTCTGGGGGAGAATTCTAGCGGCCGCTGCTCTGGTCGGTAGTTTTCCGTGGTTTCTCTGATCAACTCAAGGCGAATACTGGAGTAGTACCCTAACAAACGGGCCACGGCTCGCGCGCGGTATTTGCTTCTTCTTCCTCCTAACCTCATCTCTCACTTACTTACACTTACACGCACTACAATACCACACATGCCGGGAGACCAGTCGGGATCTTAGAGCTTGTCTCGGCTAGGGATGGCAAAAAGCATCGATGTTTTTAATGCATCGATATTTTCGAGCAGAAACGCCTATATAATATGTTTACATCATGTTTTTTCATATCGATACATTTATCCAGAAATATCGATGTTTAAAAAAATTCTCATGATATAAATTAAATATACAATATCTAATGTTTTCTGATTGCTCGCACTGAATAGCCACTAACAACTGTCACTGTTGGCGATCCCCAGGCAGCATGAAACCGTTTGCTATTCTCAACACACACACATACACATACACAAACACATACACACACACACACACACACACACACACACACACATATATATATATATATATATATATATATATATATATATATATATACACGATAATTTAACGATATTATCACGTACAAAATAATTATAAAATGTAACAACACTGGAGAAAAGTTGATATGTACGTTATATATCACATTAGAAAGAGTACATTTTAGTTCCATTATTTATGAATGACAGTGAATAAATAGAAAAATAGTAAAACCCAATGACCTTTATATTTTATTTCCTTCTTTTTTTCCATACACATTATTATTAACATATTTCTTATACGTGATAAGCTATGTTTAAAAATGGAAACACAATCGGAAAATACGATCACTTTTCTCATATTTAAAACATCGATACTTTTGCCATCGATGTTCTTTGGTAGATGTTTTCATCAACAGCGAAAACCTTTTAGTGATGTATCTAAGTACAGATGTATCGATGTTTTGTTAAAATTTGCCATCACTAGTTTCGACTAAGGTGCTGCTTCGCTGGTTTTTCTACACTAGCTTGTCAGCTAGGTCGAATTCAGTCGCTGTCTGGAGAGAATTCAAGCGGCGGCTGCTCTGATCGTAGTTTGCCGTGGTTTCTGCGATCAACACCAGGAGAATGCCGGAACAGTACCCTAATAAACGGGCCACAGACCTCGCGCGTTCTTTCCTTCCCCTTCCTAGTCCTACTGTAACCCCTTACGTACACACACGTACACTTACACGCTCTACACTACAAACGTCGGGAGACCAGTGTGGAGCTTAGAGATTCTCCCAGATGGGGCGTTGTCCTGCTGGTGGGAGATACGTAGATTGGGAAATCCTGCAAGCCGACTGGTAGGTTTGCGCCTGATCTCGCCATTCGGCAGGGGAAAATCATCGCCACCTCCTGCGATCAAAGCATACCTACACTTCCAGGATAAAAACGTTTGTGATTGGCGCGTGCGGAATCGGTCTGTTCCTTCGTCTGTGAACAAAATTAAGGCGGCTCCACACACTCGGGCTTCGTCAAGCTGCGAGCTACTACTCGCCCAATCCAGATGTCCCTGCAGTCCCTCTGACCGGGAGATCCTAGGTTCGAGTACCCACGGTGGCAGGATTTTCGACACTAGATTGTCAGTCTGGTAGAATTCAGTCGCTGTCTGGAGGAGAATTCTAGCGGCCGTTTGCTTTGACCGGTAGTTTTCCGTGGTTTCTCCGATCAACACCAGGCGAATGCCGGAGCAGTACCCTAACAAACGGGCCACGGACCGCGCGCGATCTCACCTTCCGCTTCCCTGTTCTATCCTCACCCGTTACACGCACACTTACACTAAAATGCACTACACTACCACAGATGCCTTCAGGAGCTTGTCTCGGCCGGGGCGGTGCCCCGCTGGTGTGAAAAACCTGGTTGGGAAAACCCTGCTAGCTGGCGGTCGATCGGCACCGAATCTCGCCATACAGCGGGGGAAAGATCATCGTTACCTCTGGAGCAAACAATGAGCATTACACTTACAGGAATAATTACCATAGTAGTTGACGTGTCCGGAATCACTAAAATAATCAATCAATCAAAACTCAATCCCGAACAGCAGATATGTTCTGCGAATGTTCGCTCCCTTTAATGTATTAAAGACCGTTTAATGTATTAAAAAATTAAACTCCCTTTAATGAATTAAAAACCGACTTTAATGTTTAAGACCGATACTCGATGGGTAGGGTGAATACCAAATGCCGCATATGTGGAGGTATCTATAGTAAGATTTTTTCTAGTATTCCTCGATCGATCTGGCCCGACTAAAAGACATTTGATTTTGAAAAAAAAAATCCTTTAAATTTTCAGCGTACTAATCTTAAAAGCCTAAGTTGTGTTCAAAATTTTCTCCGAAATGACCTGATATAATTTCTTTACATTTATTTTAAGAATGTATTCGAGGAAGTGGAAATCACTTATAAAGATGGCATAGTTCCGATTTTACTGTTAAAAATAGTTTTTGTTTAAATTGCAAAAGGTTGATAATTTTTGCACATAATCGTACAGCTACGTCATTGAAATTAGTTGCTGGTTTTACTTTTACGCATATTTCACACTCAGTTTAAAGAAAGTGTTGTAATACTGGGAAGAGGGGGGTAGATTTTGCGAAAGGAAGACACTTATTGTGGGCTCTGGTTTCTTCCTCTAACTTTGACTAATACTCGTACATTGTGTAGTCAGAATCCACGGTTTGCGGGCCTTGATACCTAAATATTGGATTTCGGTAAAACGTCCGCCTGTTCGTTTGCCCACCTGTCAGTCTGTCCGTCTACTTGTCTCTCCGTCTTTCCCCTCTGCCTGTCTGTTTTTCTGTCAGTCTGTTCGTCTGACTACCAGTCCGTCTGCCGATCAGTCTGCTTGTCTGACTGTCATATTTGCCTGTCCTACCTGTTCTGTCTGTTATGTCCTGTCTGACATATCTGGCCGTTTTTACATGAATTACTTGAGTATAAATTAAAGCTGTACCAATGCTCTGCCCTTTTGCACCCTTTGTGCGCGATACTACTGCCATCTGTATATTTGCTTATTTCCATCTCATAATTTTTGTCACCTCAGTGTTTATTTTATTTCTGGACTTCATAAAGTTAAAGGTAACAGTTAAACGTAACAATGTTTTACGTAATAATAAAAACATTTGCTCATATCTGATAATTTCAATCAAGATATCAGTTTTGTTTCATTTTGTTCCGGAACTCCACTGAATAAATTATTATTAGGTCATAAAAACACATAAGAAAATAAATAATGCCCATTTAATTTCATTAATTAGTTTAATTTTTGTGCATTACAAAAGAAATTTGTACAAATATGAAATAATTTTCAAACCGTTTGTTTTCCAGCTACGATTTTTTTTGAAATTACCCTTAATGCAGTCGTAATTTTAAAATTCAACATTATTCAAGTTTTTGGAATGTTTTTAATAACAACTATATGTTTATCTGAACATTTTATTTTGCATTTTATCATATTTTAGTGCGTATTATTATTATTATTATTAATATTTTAGATTTCATGTCGATTATAAAAATTAAATATGCAATATTTTGAAGAGTACGAGTATAGAGAATAGTTTGGAGAGAACACTTATATGAAAAAATCTGGGCTGCAAATGGATAATCCTGGAAATTTTCAAGTCAATGATACCTTAACAACGTGATTATAGGTCGAGTTTTTTAAAGTAGCCGGTGACATTATGACATTGGTACACCTCTTGCCTTATAAAATCAATCTTTTTAACTGTAGTAAGCACATTTCT